GTTCTTGGTTGAAAACAAACTCATTAACTATATATATTCTAATTTTCCGTGCACCTTTATTCAAAAAAGGAAAAATATAAGAAAAACTATTTTTTTTCTATTATATAATGACTCTCAAAACTTGTATAGTAAGTAATTAATAAAGTGAGTTCCACAAAGTTGAAGCTGTGCACAGTTATCTCCACAGATACTAAATGAATCAGTGAAATCTTGAAATGTTACACCATCCACTTCACTATTGTTAACAAAGTGGATGGAAATAATATTTCTTTTAACAACCTGAATAGCATACCCTTCCATTCCCTCCCAGTTCAAGCTAAGCCTACTTTTTACTACTGAAGATGTTTAAAACAACTTGTTCCTGTGGTGACCCTGGAAGTCCAGTGGACTCCAATCACTTTACAGTTTATTTTTGTGGAAACTTTTCCCACCAACTCACATATTAGTGGACCTGAAGTCCAATGGACTCCAATTACTTTACAGTTTATTTTTGTGGAAACTTTTCCCACCAAGTCACATATTAGTGGACCTGAAGTCCAGTGGACTCCAATCACTTTACAGTTTATTTCTACAGAAATGTTTCCCTCCAACAGATGGCACCTTGGCATACATGGCCAGTAAAGCTGTGAATTAGGCAGGAACTGTGGCTCTAAGTATACATACAATCATGTTCAGATTATTGCATATCTGGTAACTAGTATCTCACTATATTAACTTTTTGATAAAAACTTTAAAGTTGTCTGATTTAGTTACTTAGATTTTACTAAGTTGTTTTAATGGTTAACATATTTAACAACCATTGGAAACTCATACAGTAACTATAATACAGAGAGGAAATTGATAAAAAGGGTCCACTAATATGCAACTTAATCAACTGATGAGTGTTCAGATTTATTTTAGAATGTTGTTTAAATTAGAACAAGTTCTAAATTTCTACCTATTGTTTTCTTTAAAAAAAACATATCACTGTTTCTCAAAAAAATCCCAAAATATTAAAACAATGTACTTTTTCTTACCTATTGTTCTTTGTTTTTTCAGAAATCATCCCTTTCTTACAAAGTCAGAGTTATAAAATGATAAGAGGTGGTAGATCATCCTTTCTCTACACTTCATTCACTAAGTTGTAGGTAATCACAGGTACGAGTATCCTAAAGAAAAAGAAACAGCTGTGGCCAGTGCAGGGCAGCCACTAACCATTACAAAAACACTCTCCTTCCACAGCAGCGATTCATGAAGAAAATGAAACCAGTAAACAGCTAAGATGTGGGGAAGGCACTGGAAGTTACTACTCTCCGTTTCATGTACACATCATAAAGAGAGACAAAAGATTATAGGATGTCAACGTCTGGCACATCCAACATCATAAGATATAAAACTGAGCTCATGGCAGGAAATGCCTATACCAACTCCCAAATACAAATGGAGATTCCATAACCAGATCTAGTAATTTTCACACTAAATCTACCACTGCTATAACATTGTGTTGTCGTATCTATGACTCTTATCCTGTATACCCTTGGGATTCACCTTACCAGCTGACACAGTCTCATTTAGATGAGAAATATATGCATTTTTGTCCAAAGATAAATCTTGGATCTCAGCCTCCAAATGTTTGGTCACTTTGCCATAGTCTGAATAGTTTTTGCCGTAATAAGAATCTCCAGCACCAATTTTCGGCTCATTTTGTCGGGCATCTGCTTGAAGAAGAATCTGATGAGCGGCTCTGTCCATTTCCTCCTGAGTCATGTCGATAGCCTCAGCTAGTTCTCGCTGGGTAGTTCTCACAAATTCTGGGTCACAGTACTTACCCAAACCTTGTTCGTGTAAGACCTAAGTGGAAAAGAAAAAAATTTCAACCATAGGTGCTTTTCTCTCAGCAACATGCTGATCTGTTTCAGTCTTGATAAATAATACATAAGTTTGTTAATGTAATTTACGGTGTCGTTGGATTAATCACTATAATTGAGTTTTAATTTTTGTTAATTAATTCAAAGATTATGGGAGAAGGGAACTCTATATATTGTCATGACTCGTGCTACTTTCTTTTATTCTTCATTAAAGATTTCAATACAGGAAGTTTAGAAAAAATTAAAAATCAAATTTGTGATAAGAATTGGATTTCCGAGTTTGCAGAAATCAATATCTAGGTACATAGATACCAAAACTGAATTGATTTCTAGATACATGGAATACAAAACAAGATTAATTACACTGTAGTATGTTGAAAAAAAAAAACAACAACAACAACATAGGAGCTGTTAATATGAACAACCCGTTTAGTGAGCTTGTTTGTAGACCATTTCAGCCTGAAAAAGATACACAATAAAAGTGCCTAGAATCAAGGCCTAAGAATAAGCTCACTAAGAAGGTTGTCCATATCAAAAATTAACAGTTCTGTAAGTATATATTTCAAATAAATATACTGTTTCAATTGAAGGAACTGACTCATAAATCACTTTCAAATTGTACAGTATGAAACATCCTTACATGAAACAGTTTATAAATTCTCATTATAGTAAGTGTTATGACATTTTACTTTTTGAGTATACATTTTAGTTGTTTAAATAATATAATATGGGACCAACATCTAAATGTAAAGGTTATTTCAAGAATGACTACAATCATAGTGCAGTATCCCACAATCCTTAGATTACCAATAACACATTCCAGGGAAAGAACCCTTAACTCACACTGACCTGAACAAGTATCTGTTTTATCCCTTGAGATAGTTTATCCTATGGCAAGGATATAAACATACACAGGATCAAGCTGGTACAAGAGTTTTGGCACAGCTACTGTAGTATGTAACCTTTACCTATGCAGAAAGATGCTAACTTCATGCAAGACACCTGCATGAGAATTTAGAAACTTACCTGAATACATCTGAATAAAGATATATTGTATACTATTTATGGAAGGGTGAAATTAACAGTTATTTCTGCAGTGACACAGGTATTATTATTTACAAAATATTCCTTATTCACTGTCAATGGCCTTCTGTGTATTTGGTTTGCTTAAATAAGCTGTTCACCCTAGAATAGTATGGAGAGCTGGCAAGGATAAGAAAGAACACATTAATATTAAAACTGTGATGCAGAACAGAAACTAATGAACATGTTTGTACTACAAAACACAGATGCAAAACTGTTTACTTGGAATCTTCTTCCATATTGCAAAGCACCATTTGAACTAATGCATTAAAATAAATCGAACACTTCGAAATAGAAACGAATAAAAATCCTATATCCTGAGCACTTTCGAAAGGTGGACCTTTCTTCTTCAGGAGCAAACTGGGAATCAATACTTCCAAATGTATTCTCACACTTAATGAAAGAGGAACTTTACTAGTCAGTGAGTGGACCTTTCTTCTTCAGGGGCAAACTGGGAATCAATACTTCCAAATGTATTCTCACACTTAATGAAAGAGGAACTTTACTAGTCAGTGAGTGGACCTTTCTTCTTCAGGAGCAAACTGGGAATCAATACTTCCAAATGTATTCTCACACTTAATGAAAGAGGAACTTTACTAGTCAATCAGTGAAAGAGTAGCATATTAATTGATAATGTAAGAAGTCAAGTTTGTAAACAAAAATGAAAAGAGAGAACATTTTGATAGTAAAGTGTGTAAAAGAAACTTGCATATAGATAATAACCTTCCACCCGAGTACAACAATTCTATAGATCTAGGAATCACTATCACTGATAAAGTAGAAACCAAACTGAAAACAATCCTAGTTGCACACTAATTCAAGAACTGAGTGAAAAAACTTTGGAAAATCTATCTTTTAAAAGTAGGGTCATGAAAAATATGTGTACAGAGACTTGCTTTAAGTCGTTCCTACTGAGAAAAATCTATATTTTTGTTCAAAAGCAGGCTCCGTATCATGTATGTACTGATACAATGTTTTCCCTCTCATGTTTGTAAAGAGTAACACAACTTGAATAAAAAGTAGTCACTCTTGTGCCGCAAACAATTTCCAGAATGTTGTTTCTGGCATTTTTTCTGACAGCTATAGCCAAATTGAGCAATTTATTGAGGAAGCAAAGTTTAAATACATATTTTCCCCATCCACTCATCAGGAAGTCATGGCACAGTAAACTTTAGCAACTTTGTAAAGCCTGATTCATTTTAGTGACTGAGGTCAACAAAACACGTCTAATATATTAGTTTGACAGTTTTTGGTATAGAATTTTTTTAAGCAGGAAAAAATTACTTCCAATGTTTCTCATTAAACAATACTCTTCCAATGTTTCTCATTAAACAATACTCTTCCAACGCCAACAAGGCATTAAACACACGCATCGGACAACAAGGCCATGCCAAAGAACAGCCTAGCTTAGCCAGTGAAATAGAATATTTTCATTGTGATAACAAAATTGTTTTACCAATTACTGATAATTTTCTTGTACAATTTTAGGTTATCAACCCAGTGCTGCAACCAGGGTTTATGAAATAGACAGTCCTATGGAAGTTATAGGAAGTGCAGAAAATCTAGTAGGAAGGGTAAGAGTATTGTTTAATGAGAAACATTGGAAGAGTATTGTTTAATGAGAAACGTTGGAAGAGTATTGTTTAATGAGAAACGTTGGGAGAGTATTGTTTAATGAGAAACATTGGAAGAGTATTGTTTAATGAGAAATGTTGGAAGAGTATTGTTTAATGAGAAACATTGGAAGAGTATTGTTTAATGAGAAACGTTGGAAGAGTATTGTTTAATGAGAAACGTTGGAAGAGTATTGTTTAATGAGAAACGATGCGTGTGTTTAAGGCCTTGTTGTCCCATGCGTGTGTTTAAGGCCTTGTTGGCCGATGCATGTGTTTAAGGCCTTGTTGTCCGATGCGTGTGTTTAAAATCAAAATTAATTTCCTGCTCTCAGAGCAATTCACAAATAAATGAACAATAAATAAATGTACAACGACAAAACATGAATCACTGTTGGTTTTGATAAAGTTCCAATCTCAGCCAACTCAGAAAAGGGGCATTACATAATGTAAATTTTCACAGCAGATATACCAGTGTCCTAAGTGGTCTGTGCGAATGTTCTTTAGACTGACATAAAACTTTGACTACAAGTATCAAGAAAATTGTATATGATATGCATTTAAAGATTCGCTTAAATTAAATTCCTTTAGGTTAAAAAACTTTATATCAGATTCTTGTATATTCATTTCCTTTTTATACTAAATACCTTTGTAATTTTGTACTGGTTTAAACTTCACATTTCAAAATGCAAGATATGAGATATCTAAATTTGATAAATTTCAACCACTGTTTTCTATAACATTTAAAACTTTAACCTCTCAGAAAGAAGAACGAATCCTAGCAAGAAAGTTTTCCAATACGAATACACAAATTTAAAGATGATAAACATGACACTATCTAACCAGCATGTTCTACTTCTTAAGCTTATGTGAATGTTAACTTTCAGACACAAAAAATTAGATTTACCATGATAAGTAAGTTTGTGAGTTGGAAGGTAGTAAGGTTTTCCATCCTCATGATGACCATTCTGTTGATGAGTTGAGTGACGAATGTCACCATCAGGAGTGAGTCCTGCTACTGCTAAGGCAGGAAGCTGAGCCAGCCTAAGAGAAGCAGCAACATGATTCAGAGATCTGTTGTCATGGTAACAATTCTGCTGCTGATGTTGTTCAGGTTCGGAATCAGTGATAATGGGTTGTTCATGACTGTCCTGCTTGCTGAGACAAGCCAGACGGAAACTACCACCCCCACCCTTTCTAAGAAACTTCCTTGGGGGTGGAGTGGGAGGTTTGGGTCCTAAGTGTTCATCAGAGTCCTCTAGGGAAGAACTAGTAAAGGGAAAGAACGCAAACACACACAAACAAACAGAGGTAAGTCTAGTTGCACTTGGGACATTAGTTGGGTGTTATAGGAACAGCATATTGTAACAAAACACAGAGGGAGAAATAACATAGCTAGTCAATAGTACAAATAACTCATTATAATACAAATATATAAATACCAAAAAAGTTAAATTTATGATGAATATAAAAAAGTAACAAGGATCAAAATTAGTAACTGTGTTCTAAGTTGGTACCATTTAATGACAATAAAGCTAGTTCTTAACAGATTTTTTTTCTAACTTTCTCACCTAAAGCTTCCATATAGCTTTACAGTGTTACTCATGTCTATTGGCTATAATAACACAGGCCTGTGACGGTTTTTATTGCCTTGAAATGTTTACATGTTCTACCATAATCCCTGGATGCTAAATCCAAAAATGATATCCATTTTACTCCATCACGTACAGATTTGCACAAAATGTCATAACGCAATACATAAAAGAAAGACCACAACACGTAGTTTTGAGACGTAGATTTCACAAAAAAATCAGGATGAATGAGGATGCATATTCATTTGACATCAATGTTCTTCCTTTTTCTTCAGTTTGTTTGTATTTTTGTTAACAAACATAATAATAAAAATGCTCATTGTGGTAAACGAAATAATAATTTGATCTAAGTAAGAGTTTTTTTTTCTACCTGATTTGTAAAAAATCCTTACGTGATAGAAAAAACGAATCTTATTTTTCCAAAATCTGTTATTAAAACCAAAACAACTTTTATAAAGTTTAAATTCACAGGCCTGTGTAATTATTAAAGGCTGTGTTAATAAGGGTTGGGAAAATCTCCTATCTGTTTGATTCTATATAAATGTATAAATTATTTAATTGTTCAAATAGACTTTGCATAGGAATATAGAACTGATTTACATATTTTTACATTTATTTCTTGTTAGTTCATTAAGTAAATGCACGTATTTACATACACTTAGTTTGGAAGTAATCTCTTCTAACATATGTGCAATTTGTGTTGTTTGTTATTCAGAAAGGAAACATCGATGTTACATCCATGGATGTTTTCTTGCATGATAAAATTTTACCGAGGTTCGTAGAACAATTTGATGTTAGTAATATAGAAGAAAAGAAGAATCTTACTCAGCCATAGTAGATCTGATACTAGGCATCAGGAGATTAGTGAGGTTAGGAGAGGAACCAGAGCTTTCTGTACTGGAATAGCTCAGACTAGTTAGTATAGTTGATGGGTGGCGGGGCTGCTGTTGACATCTGGATCGGAATGCTGGGGTATCAGGAGAAAAGCTGGAGTATGAATAACCTCCAAGATCTCCATCAAAACTGTGATCGCAGGCACTGAAAGTTTCAGTGTATCAGGAGATTAGAGGACGAGATCCAGGATGGTTAGGAGAGTCAAAAATACTCATAAAGGAGGATGGTGAATCAACAGAATAATAATTACTACCCTCAGCTATGGAGTGGGAGCTGCTTAATTAAAAGATGCAGGTTAGGCTTAGAGAAGAGGAATGTGCTCAGAAAAAAACTAAGGTTCAATCTCATGCAAAAGAAAGCGAGATTGCAATACATACACTAATTCAATTAGCTTCCAACCATTGTAAAAAATATAATAAGCTAAAGCAGTAGTTCACAAATCTAGGGTCATGACAGGCTGTGGTGGGGTCACAAGTATGGCAGTAGCTCATGTCAGAACAGTGTTAATATAGAGTGCCCGATATTAACAGAGTGTAACTTATACTACAAAAGTCCAAGAGTACAAGAATCTAAATTAAACTGAAGAAGAATAAGAACCATGTGCAAACAGGAAAAGACCTGTGCTACTATGAAACTTAAGCAGTAAATAAAAGTGTAAACATTTTTTAAAAGCCATTACATCAGCACTGAAGTCATAACTTGTGCACAAACAAGGCCACAAAAGGAAAATAACTACTTAGGCTATAATAAACAAAGTGTGGTCTTCCGAAAAATATTACTGAACTTAATTATAGTCTTGGAAGAAGCCGTTTTAAATGTGTAGTCAATTTTACTGCCACTGCTCTGCCTTTAGATTTACAGAATAATTTCCGTTATGTATATACCCATGACCTAAAGTCTATCAAATTTTATTTTTGAATATACATACCAGTTACAATTTAGCATTAAAAATCCAAACTAAACTACACATATTTTAAGTAACATCAATTAGATATAGTTCATAGGTTGACTTATAAGACAGTCATTACCAATTGCTTAATCCCGTGGTCATCTTTGTCTGCAAATTGTACCTAATAGTCACACATATGTATGTCTTTTTTAACCATTTTCGAAGTGGTTATTTCCATTTTAATGTTGTAATTATAAGCCTGAAAATAGTGCTAGGCTTAAGCACAAGAACAATGAATGGGTACACCTGTCTTGCACTGATAGCGAGTTAAATGTAGCAGTTAAAATTGAAATGTAACAAGATGTAACAAAATATGCCATATTTAATCTTTTCAAATAATATTGAGCATTAATTAAAAAAAAAAAAAAAAACTTGTGGGTGACAGGTCCCCATTAACATTCTGCTATAATGCAAATTAATTATTAATAGACTTTGAAATTTTGTCACCTTGCTGCTGGGTGAAAGGTCCCTCTAAATCTTCTGTTAGCATGTAACTTCATTACTAACAGACTCT